GAGTGGGTGCGGGGCACATGGGGCAGATCCACCCCCCCACCCTAGCTTGATATTTAAGTGTGTGCCTCCCCCCAAAACTAGGGCTTATTTTTGGGGTAGTTCTTATTTTTAGGGAAACATTTTAGAGTGCTACAATAAGTCCTTGAATTACAACAGTTCATTTAGTGACCGAAGTTACAAGGGCACCAAAAAAAGCGACGTATGACCGTTTTTCACCCTTACAACCCCCTGGTCACATGATCAACATTCAGACGCTTGGTGACTGACTCGTACTTATGACAGTCGCAGTGTCTCGAGGACACCTGATCCCCTTTTGCAAACTACTGACAAAAGCAGAGTCAACGGGGGAAACCAGATTTATTTAACGTCCGTCTTACTAACTTAGCAACTGCGGTGATCCGCTTAACAACGGTGGCGAGAGAGGTCGTAAAATGGGGCGAAAGTCCCTTAACCAGTGTCTCGCTTAACAACAGAAATTTTGGGCTCCACTGTGGTCGTAAGTCAAGGAATACCTGTCATAAATTTATTTTTGGGTCTATTACTCTGACTACCTGCGACCTGGTCAAGAGGCATCTTAAGAGACCCTCAAGAATCAAGTTTCTGTGTTTGTCTGACACACACACACACAAACTCACACAAACCCACACACCAGGGTTCTCTCCAGGGAAGGGTTCTGCTCCCACTTTGTTTCCAGGTGCTTTTAATTAATTTAAAATCTATTTTAATTTCCTGCTTGTTGTAGCCGGGGAAGGCGGAGGGAGAGGGGGCGCTGCGTCCCCGCAGACACCCAAAATACTTAGCGTTAATTGGCTTTCGTAACGCGGCGCCTGGAATTTGGGTCCCGAGACACAAACCTGGGTTTGAAAGCTCCGTAATTTCCTTATTGATCGGCTGTCAGTTCTCCCCTGCCCTGGGGAGGCTGCCTGTTTTACTCCCGCTGAAGCCTGTCAGCTGGGTTTAATCCTCCTCCTTTGTCAGCTTCGGGTGGGATTAAAAAAAACAAAAAAGGCCAAACAAGACTCACCTTTGCGTTCAGCTGGCAGCTCCCATCCGCCCAGACAGGCTGGGGTTGGTGGGTCTGTGCCAGTCTGACCTGCGCCCGCGTCGTGTGCGTCTGGCGAGGCGGCCTTTTCGTTCGTGCGAAATATTTATTGTTGTTTGTCTCTGCTTTCTCTTCAAACTTTCCTTTCTGCGCCCCTTGAAATGTGGGGATGGTCAGGGCGGGCTGACTCACGGATGGAAAATGCCCAGGGTTTTTCTTCGCCCTCCTCCTCCTCCTCCTCCTCCTCCTCCTCCTCCTCCTCCTCTCTGCAAACCCCACTCACTTCTACTCTGATGAAGTTATCTAGTTGGGTCATGAAATGTCTGCAAGAAAACGACCAAGTTCAGAGAACACCAAGGACTTCACAGTCCTCCTCCTCCTTCTCTCTTCTCTTCCTCCTCTTCCTCCTCCTCCTCCTCCTCCTCCTCCTCCTCCTCTTCCATTTCCATTCTGCAATCCCCTCCTTTATAGCACTGATGATGTTACCTAGTTGGGTAATGAAACGTCTGCAAGAAAACGACCAAGTTTAGAGAGCACCAAAGACCCCACAGTCATCCTTCTCTCTTCTCTTCCTCCTCTTCCTCCTCCTCCTCCTCCTCCTCCTCCTCCTCCTCTTCCATTCTGCAATCCCTCCTTTATAGCACTGATGATGTTACCTAGTTGCATAATGAAACATCTGCAAGAAAACGACCAAGTTTAGAGAACACCAAAGACCCCACAGTCATCCTTCTCCCTTCTTCTCCTCCTCCTCCTCCTCCTCCTCCTCCTCCTCCTCCTCCTCGCTGTTGTTTGAATCCAAGTATCAGCTCAACTTTTCCTTTTAAGGCCCACTTTGGGGTGTCTTCCTCTTAGAGCTGATATCACCCCCAAATCTCAGCTTGCTTGTCATCCATCAGCCACCGCAGATGGTCTTGATCCGACTTCTCCATATCGCCCGGAGAAGACATTCACCGTTAGCATCCGATCCCAAATCCTGCACGTCCCATCCAAGGTTATTTTTTCCAACTTGCTGCGAAGTGGCTGCAAGCAGAGCAGAAAAAAACGCAAAGACCCGTCTCTTATTCCGCTATTTTTTGCTTGATCCGTCCTCCTGGTCCCCAAAAATGTGGTTTTCCTTTGGACCGAGTGCGGTTTCCACTCCTAATCGGGCGTGTCTTAATCCTCCCTTTCTCCCTTTTCCGTTGCTTCCCCAAATTCCGCCGGCCGTTTCTTCCAGAGCGATTCTTCTCCACGCCCCATTAAACTCCCACCATCTGTGGCTTCTGCTGCCCTCCGTTCCGGGGTTATAAACGCCTGTTTACGCTGCTGCGCTTCCGAGCTGCATTTGCCAAGACGTTGCTTCTTATTAATTAGCTTTTGATAAGCCGTTTATGTTTTTTAATTAAAGCGTGTGCTGGGGCAAAGAGAAAGAGGGCTGTATCTCTTAGGCAGTTTCATCTGCCACTCAGATCTTCCCAGGGCACCGGGGGGGGGGGGCAGAAACATCGCCATGCGGAGGAACCTGTTTCACCAGCTTATTTATTTATTGCCAGTTGGAAAAAAAGGGGCATTTCTCTACACCTTGGACACAAACAGGGCGCCCTGGGGTGGCAATTGTATTTGACTGAAGAATCACACGGGGGTCCTGGAACTAAAATAGACCCTCTTAGTGGTATAAACTCTTGTTCTGTTTGAGATGCCAAAAGAGATGCCAACAGTGCTAGGCTGCATTAACAGAGGGATAGAATCAAGATCACGTGAAGGGTTAATACCACTTTACAAGGCCTTGGTAAGGCCACACTTGGAATACGGCATCCAGTTTTGGTCACTGCGATGTAAAAAAGATGTTGAGACTCTAGAAAGAGTGCAGAGAAGAGCAACAAAGATGATTAGGGAACTGGAGGCTAAAGCATATAAGGAACGGCTGCTGGAATTGGGGATGTCTAGTTTAATGAAGAGAAGGACGAGGGGGGAGATGATAGCAGTCTTCCAGTATCTCAGGAGCTGCCCCGAAGAAGAGGGAGTCAAGCTATTCTCCAAAGCACCTGAAGGCAGGACAAGAAGCAACGGATGGAAACTAATCAAGGAGAGAAGCAACCTAGAACTAAGGAGAAACTTCCTGACAGTTAGAACAATTAACCAGTGGAACCACCTGCCTCCAGAAGTGGTGAATGCTCCAACACTGGAAGTTTTTAAGAAGAGACTGGACAGCCATTTGTCCAAAATGGTATAGGGTTTCCTGCCTGAGCAAGGGGTTGGACTAGATGACCTCCAAGGTACCTTCCAACTTTATTATTATTATTATTATTAGATCTGGGGAAATATAGATAGTCCTCCATTGGGACCAGAAAATTCCAAGTGATCATTAAGGGAGGCTCCCGATTTTACAACCTTTTTTGTGCAGTCATTAAGTGAGACATCACGCAGTCACCATCCGCAACCTCAAGTTTACCACCTTGACTTTACTGCTCAGAAACTGAAGATCACAAACTGCGATGGGACGTGCAACCGTCGTAAACGTGGAGCAGTTTTTAGCTCTCCAGATTGTGATCATGTCACTGCAGGGGTTGTAAGTGTGAGAACTGGTCCAAAGTCACTTTTTTCATTGCTGTTGCCCCTTTGGCCGTTAAACGGATGGCGATAAGTCAAGGACTATCTGTGTGCATCTTGCAAAATATGGGACTGAATAAAACGGAAGAGTCATTCGTGATTTTAGCCCTTCGGGGGAAAAGTCTACTTTGTGCTGCCTTTTACCCAACAAGATAGCACGTCGGTGTCCTTTGTGCGGCCGAATTGTCTGCGGCCGAGTTGTGTGTGCGTGCGCGTTTGGGCAGCAGAATGGCTGAGCTGATTATATCCAGGGGTGACGTCAAAACGGTTGTCTAGGAGTGATGTGACACGCGATAAGGCTGTGTTTGACAATAGCCGCGGATGTGTTTCAAGAAATGCCACCGAAATGCCATTAAGAACCCCCTGGGGAAGCGATTGTGGCACGGAAACCTGCAGCCCTGGCAGAGACAGGGCAAAGGATGGCGATATTTTATTTTGAACTCCAGCATCGGGAGACATCCCCCTCGCCTGTGTTTTGGTAAAGGTTTGCCTTGCATTTCTTCCGCGTGTTAAATCAATAAAGGCCCTGCAGAAAAGGAGGTTTTAGGAACGGCGGTGGAGAAAGCATCGGAGAAATTTAATTTAGTGGTCCAGGGGGTTTTGCTCCTCAGATCAATTAAGGACGGTGCTAGTTGTAAAGATTCACTGCTCTTAAGAAATGTCTCGAAGAGAATAAACAGGAGGAATTTTAAGCAGGGTGGGCTGGCGGGCCAGTAAAGTAAAAAAACAAAAAAGAAAAAAGTAGAATAGAATAGAATAGAATAGAATAGAATAGAATAGAATAGAATAAAGAGAGATTGGAATGGAACGGAATTGAATATAGAAGAGAAGAGAATAAACAGGAGGAATTTTAAGCAGGGTGGGCTGGTGGTCCAGTAAAGTAAAAAAACAAAAAAATAGAATAGAATAGAATAGAATAGAATAGAATAGAATAGAATAGAATGAAGAGAGATTGGAATTGAATTGAATATAGACTAGACTAAACTAGAATAAGAATAGAATAGAATAGAATAGAATAGAATAGAATAGAATAGAATAGAATAGAATAGAATAGAATAGAATAGAGATTGGAATGGAATAGAATAGAGATTGGAATGGAATAGAATAGAATAGAATAGAATAGAATAGAATAGAATAGAATAGAATAGAGATTGGAATGGAATGGAATGGAATTGAATAGAGAAGAGAAGAGAAGAGAAGAGAAGAGAAGAGAAGAGAAGAGAAGAGAAGAGAATAAACAGCAGGAATTTTAAACAGAGTGGGCTGGCGGTCCAGTAAAGTAAAAAAAACAAAAAAATCTGCAGTGCTGAGGATGTTTTGGTGCCAAAGTGAGAAAACAGAACCTCAAGACTGGAGGAAGCAAAAAAATAAAATGAAATGGAGATTGAGGCTTATTCTCTTCCAAGTTCTCACGTGGCCCAAACTCTGTGGCTTCACAGGTGGTTTTCTGGAACCAGGTGGGCAGGCTTCAGAGAAACCTTTGGGTTTTCCGTGAAAATTAGCCTGCGTTGAAAGTGAGTTTGAGGTCACAAAAATCATTGGACTTTGTAGACGTTGAAAGGGCGTCCTTCCAATTCTTCTGTTTTGGTGTTCCCAAAAAGCTTTTCTCCTCCCTCTTATCCACTTTTCTCTTCCTTGTGGCAGGAGGCCTGTGGGATGCCGAAGCTGAACCCACCTGCCTCACAGTGGGGCTGGCCCCAGTGCGGACGCTGCTCACCTTGGATGACGCTGTGTGGGCCAGCTGTGGCAATCAAGTCACTGTCTTTGATGCCATCAGCCTGAAGGCTCAGGTAGGTGTATCTCCAGGTGTGTCTTGATTTAGTTCGGGAACCGCCGTTCCACTGATTAATTGTTCTCGCCGTTAGGAGGAATTTCCCGATGGTGAGAATAATCAGCCAGTGGAACGACTTGCCTCCAGAGGTTGGGGTGGGTGCTTCATCACTGGAGGTTTTTAAGAAGAGACTGGAGAGCCACTTGTCAGGAATGGTGTAGGGTCCCCTGCCTGAGCAGGGGGTTGGACTAGAAGACCTCCAAGGTCCCTTCCACCTCGGTTATTCTATGTTCTAAAATTTCTCCTTTCTGGTGCTGTGACTCCCGTGGGCCGGCCACTGTGTGGCACTGTTCCTGCGTGGACTCAAGCGCCCACCCAGAATGGCAGAGATACCCCCTTCTCTTTCTCTCTCCCCTTCTCCTTTCCCCCTACTTATTTGGGCAGTGCTGGATGCCAGGACCTAACAGCCTCATTTGCACCCTACCCATGGCGTATCTGCCACCCTACAAGAGTATCCATTCTCCATTCTCAACTAGTGGAACAGCTTACCCCCAGAAATTGTGGGTGCTCCATCACTGGAAATTTTTAAGAAGAGACTGGACAATCGCCTGTCTGAGATGGTGTAGGTTCTCCTGCTTGAGCAGGGGGCTGGACTAGAAGACCTCCAAGGTCCCTTTCTATTCTATTCTATTCCGTTTCCATTCCGATTCTATTCTACTCTACTCTACTCTATTCTATATTCAATTCCATTCCATTCCAATCTGTCTTCATTCTATTCTATTCTATTCTATTCTATTCTATTCTATTCTATTCTATTCTATTCTATTCTATTCTACATTCAATTCCATTCCATTTTGTTCTATTCTACTCTACTCTACTCTACTCTACTCTACTCTACTCTACTCTACTCTGCATTCTATTCTATTCTATTCTATTCCATTCCATTCCATTTCATTCTATTCTATTCTATTCTATTCTATTAATTCCATATTCTATTCTATTCTACATTCAATTCCATTCCATTCTATTATACTCTACTCTACTCTACTCTGCATTCTATTCTATTCTATTCTATTCTATTCTATTCTATTCTATTCTATTCTATTCTATTCATTCCATATTCTATTCTATTCTACTCTACTCTACTCTACTCTACTCTGCATTCTATTCTATTCTATTCTATTCTATTCTATTCTATTCTATTCTATTCTATTCTATTCTATTCTATTCTATTCTATTCTAATCTTCTATTCTATTCTATTCTATTCTTCATGAGACAAACTCATGCACGGTCTGGGGTGTTCTCCCCGTGCCAGTCGAGACTTCAGATTGAACCAAAACTGCTCACAGAGGGTTGACCAGCGATCCTAGTTCCTCTGTAGAAGCAGCGGCCGAATTAACACACATGGATAACACGTAGACACACACATGTGTAAACGGAGCAAAGGGAGAAATATCCTGGTTTTCTTTTCATTTGAAGCAGCGGCCTTTCCTGCCTCAGTTTCCTTTCTTTCTCCGCTGCCGCCTCTTTCTCTTCCCTGACAAGATGAGGCCGTCTCTTTCCTCCACTTGGCACTCGGTTGTCAGGTGGCATCGAATGCCTTGTCAACACTAATGCAACGTTTTACGTCTCCCCAGGTGCCCAGCAGGATTGATAGGAGCTCTGTTTTTATAGAGACATTTTGAGGTACATAAATGCCGCGGTGGGAAGGATTGTGTCAGCATTTTCAGGGTAATATTCCGAGTTTATAACGGAGGCATTAAAAAGAGAACTGCTGCAAAGTTGGGTACTGTCTAAAAAGGACGTGGGATGTGAGAAAGTGGCTTTTGCAGGCAGAGAAGGACAGAAAATTAGAGCCATGGGGCCAGGCAGCGAAAAAGGGATTAATTGGAGTGAGAAGAACAGGGGTCTTCAAACTCGGCCCTTTTATGACTTGTGGACTTCAACTCCCAGAATTCCTCAGCCAGCGTGAGGGGACTATGACCCTTTTATGACTTGTGGACTTCAACACCCAGAATTCCTCAGAATTCCTTCAACATTGCCCGTAGCTTTACCTGGAGCCTAGTAGGGGGAATAAACTCAGAGCGACCCAACCATTTTGGGGTTACAGAAGGATCAAGGCCGAAAACTCAGCACATGTTTCCTAGTTGCTGGTATTATTAACAAAAAACTAATAATATAATAATAATAATAATAATAGTACTAGTAATAGTAATAGTAGTAGTAATAATAGTAATAATAGTAATAATAGTAATAATAATAATAATAAAGTTGGAAGGTACCTTGGAGGTCATCTAGTCCAACCCCCTGCTCAGGCAGGAAACCCTATACCACTTCAGACAAATGGCTGTCCAGTCTCTTCTTAAAATCTTCCAGTGTTGGAGCATTCACAATTTCTGGAGGCAGGTTGTTCCACTGGTTAATGGTTCTAACTGTCAGGAAGTTTCTCCTTAGTTCCAGGTTGCTTCTCTCCTTGATTAGTTTCCACCCGTTGCTTCTTGTCCTGCCTTCAGGCGCTTTGGAGAATAGCTTGACTCCCTCTTCTTTGGGGCAGCCCCTGAGATACTGGAAGACTGCTATCATGTCCCCCCTGGTCCTTCTCTTCATTAAACTAGACAGACCCATTTTACTTCATGGCCCACTGACGCCCAATTCTCTCTTTTCTTCGTCCACAGCAAATATTCGAGGCCCACCCGGGAGAGGAGAGCAGCGTGACGCACATGATCAAGGCCGGCAGTGGGGTCTGGATGGCCTTCTCCTTGGGGTCTTCCATACGGCTCTTCCACACAGAGACCCTGGAGCTTCTGCAGGACATCAACGTGGCCACCCGAACCACGGCGGTCCTGCCAGGTAGGGTAAAATACGTGGCATCCTAACGGCAGGAAAAAGCAAATTTCAGACAGTCCTTGGGTTACGACCGTAATTGAGCCCTGCAGTTACTGTCGTAAAGTGGGTCATCCCAGGACTGGACCCAATTTTATGAACTATTTGCAAACACCCTGGTCATTAAGCCGGTTCCTAGGCAAAAACCTTTGTAGATCTCAAAACAAATTCAGGTAAGTCCTTGGGTTATGACCTTAATTGAGCCCTGCAATTACGGTCGTAAAGCGGGTCATCCCAGGACTGGATCCAATTTTATAAACTATTTGCAGCAGTGAAGCAAATACCCTGGTCATTAAGCCGGTTCCTAGGCAAAAATTTTGTAAGTCAAAATGTAGTTACCGGGGAAGGATGTTGGATTCAAGACTTAGGAACCAGATCATTAGTAGGTGGGTTTTTTTGGGTGGGTGGGGGTCTGTAATAACTTCAAACGGTCACTAAACAATTGGTCACAAGTCAGGGACTACCTGTACAGGGTTAGGTGACTCTGGAATTCCCTTCTGCTGCTTAGAATGCGCTGAGATATAAGATTGTGGCCGTAAGGTAGAATATTTATCTACAAAATAAACTGGGTTCTCCACCTCATACGGATATTTGAATTGGTTTCCCTGCACATAGCAGAGGGTCAGACTAAATGACCTCTGGGAGACTTCTCACCTCCCCCATTTGTGGAAATTGTTCTAGACGGCTGAATTTACACACCTGAAAAAGGCCCAGGCCTTCTCAATTGGTATTTTTACCCATGACAGATGATAAGGTACTATCTTACCTGTATAGGTATCACTCAAAATGCCTTGCCCCCTCCCCCAAATTCCTCAGTTTCATTCCTACATTCGTCTAGCCACTGTCTGGATGCGAGGATACTCACCAAAGCTTCTGCCTGTTCATAAAATTTATTAGTTGGGAAAAAAACCCGCTAATGCACGCTTTCTGATTTTTAATTTTTTCCAAGTCTATTTTCCGGAGCTTACGTGACGGTTCACACAACTTCTCTTTTAATAAGAACTTGAAATGAGCACCCAGCAAATATATCAGGTGCCCCCCCCCACTGTGTGGCAAATACCGGGCCGGGCACACTCACAGGCTGGCACAAATTTTTCGATTCGGTTTCGGGAAGGGGGAAAAAAAATGGCCGATTAAAACCACTGTAAATTCTCCATTAATCTTTTTCCTTTCCGCCTCCCTCCCTCCCAGCCTTTCCCCTTCTCTCTTTCCCACTCCTTAGCAAGAAGTAATTGTATAATTAGTGCTAAATGCGTTACTTGTATAAAGTGTTTCGTGGGTTTTTTTTCCCTCCTTAAAAAAAATAAAAAGTCGCACAAGAGCCGTCTTTTAAAAATTTATCGCAGCCCACTCTGCTTCCACAGTGTAAGTATTTTTTGTATTAATGTATTTTTGAACTAAAACTCTCTCATCCTTTTTAACCAGACAGGCCATTAATAAAGGCTTCTGCATAACAAAATAGCCTTTTTAAATTTGTATATTGGCTGATAGGTGCCTGGTCTGACATTGGAGCTTTAAGTCTGCAGATAAAATATTTATTTCTCTCGAGGACGCCTGTCTTCTGCTTTGATTTTGGGTGGGTGAAAAAGGGGGTGGTGGGGGAGCCTCATAAATGCTGCTGCTGAATTCAGAGGTGTTTATTCCCAAAGATTCAACGTTGGATAAATGGATGGTCCCTACCTTTTATCCTCAGAACAGCCCTTGGAGGTAGGCCAATGGAGCAGCCTAACTTAGCAACGCAACGTTTTGTCTGCCTAAAGCAGAAATATATATATAAAGCTCAGGATGTTACAACACAGCCAACCACCCAGGATGTTGCAACACAGAACTCGGGATATCACTACCCTAGATCTCAGGAGGTCATCACACAGCCCATTACCCAGGTTGTTACAACACAAAAGACTAATGGGCACACAGCCAGCACCTCAGCTACTCAGGATGTTACAAAAGAGCCAAACAATCCACAAACAATAACTCCAACATAGCCAACCAACCCACCTACAGCAACTAAGCCAGCACTCCACACACACACACCAATATTTATAGAGAGACGGCAGCTCCGATCACACTTTGCTCGCACAAGCACGAAGCTGAAGACCCCAGCCTGAAGATGACTAGTGGGACCTCGTCGAAACGTCGCCGAGATACTCTCAATCTTACACGGGAAAAGACCCAAATACGCCAAGACCTATTTCAGCCTTGGGATAAGACCAAAAATAAATCCTGCAGAAGGAATGTGCAGAATTTTATTTTTTTAAAAAAAGCAAAATCGGTAGTCCTCGTTTAGCAGCTGCCTTGTTTAGTGACCGTTTGCAGTTATGACAGTGATGAAAAAAAAGCAACGGGATGACCTGTCCTCTCGTTTATAAGCTTTGCAGGGCTGCAAAATAAAGGAAAGAGGAAGGAAGATCAGCAGCACAGCGGCGGTTTCACTTTACAACCGAATTGCTGGCCCCAATTGTGTCACTAAGAGAGGACTGCCTGGATTCCCAAATCCATCTTGTTGTTAGTCCAAGTTCACCACCTGAATATTTTGTTGTTAGAGATCCTGGCTTTGATTCGGGAGCCCAAGGTTGAGAGAGATGAACGGGCCCAACATCCTCCGTGGAGGCGGGATTTGAATCCAGACCCCCCCCATTCTTAACCCAGCGCCTTCCCCTACTGGCTCAAAATAACAGAATTAAATCTTCCTTAGCTCCCATTGAGGATCTCCCTGTTCTTACGTCACTTTATTGCCAATTTTGCTTCCTTCCCCTCCTCCAAATTCTCCTGTTTCTTTTTTTCCCCCTCCATCGTTAATTTGCAATTAAAATGCACCCTGGCATCATCAGACTCAAAAGGCCGAGAGGAACATAGGAAAAAACCCCAGGATCTTCCCCCCCCCCAAGATGGGGCCTCTTGGATTAAAGGGGGTTGGAAAGGAGTCCACAGGGAACTCTGTGCATGCTCAGGGACTTCAACCTGCCAGGTGATGAGGACGGTCCAGCTTTTTTTTTGCTGGTGCTTTTTTTTCCAAAGAGGCTTCCCAGGAATTTATTTATTTTTTATTAGCTTTTTCATTATAACATTTCTAAGCCTCCGCTAGAGTTGGGCCTATAAATAAACAAGGAAAGGTCACAACGCATTCGCACCGATGTCTTTGGGGCTCTGCGGAGGAAGTTGACTGATCTGAAATATCATTTTCCTGTAATTTGGCTCCGTCCTCTTTCTCAGCTTTATCAAACAGCATCCAAACCCAGTTGGTCATCATTTCTAATTAGACGGATTTGGGGAAAAAAATGCCTATAAAAGTTTTAATCCAATAAAACACCAAGCTTTCGTTGGCCACTGCCAACATCGTCAGGGTACATTCAAGTCGATGGGAAAGTTCTTTTATAGGTGAGACACTGTCTGCACCCGGCTCCTAGATCGCGTCACGGGTCCTGACTGGCCAATCTGCACTTTGGTCGTGGTTTGTGTGTCATTGCCTGCACTCTCTCTACTTTTCTTACATGTGTGTGCATTATTGCCCCATTATTGTGTGTCAGTGCAGGCAATGACACACAAACCACGACCAAAGTGCAGATTGGCCAGTCAGGACCCGTGACGCGATCTAGGAGCCGGGTGCAGACAGCGTCTCATCTATAAAAGAACTTTCCCATCGACTTGAATGTACCCTGATGATGTTGGCAGTGGCCAACGAAAGCTTGGTGTTTTATTGGATTTAAGGATCGGATTATAGGTCTGCCCGCCCGCCGCCCGCCCTTGATTGGATGCATCAACCCTAATTCAGTTATATTGGTCTAGTGTCATACGACAAACATGCCCAGCCGGTGGGGCAGGTGAGGAGAGACCGAGGATGAGAACCCGCTGCTGCCAGGGCTTGGAGTCCATTCCCATCATCCTAAGCCAGGGGGTCTTCAAATGTGGCCCTTTGATGACTGGTGGACTTCAACTCCCAGAATTACTCAGTTGGCCATTTTGATGAAACTGCAGGCTTGGATCCAGACCAGGGCTCTTCAAACTTGGCCCTTTGATGACTGGTGGACTTCAACTCCCAGAATTCCTCAGTCGGCCATTTTGATGAAACTGGCCCTTTGATGACTGGTGGACTTCAACTCCCAGAATTCCTCAGCCAGTGTGCCTGGCTGAGGAACTCTGGGTTGAAGTCCACAAGTCCTAAAAGGGCCACGTTTGAAGACCCCCGGCTTAGGATGATGGTCTTGGATAGTGGAGAACCACCAGATGAAGCAGAAGCTTCCCTCTTCGCTTAACGGCGGTGTCTTCTTTCCTTTTCCAGGGCAGAAGAACGTCCGGGTCACCAGCCTCCTCATCTGCCAGGGCCTGCTCTGGATTGGCACCGACCAAGGCATTCTGGTCCTGTTGCCCGTGCCCAGGCTGGAGGGGATCCCCAAAATCACAGGTAAGGCAGAAGAGGCCACCTTGAGACAGGGACGGAGACCGAGGGACACTGAAGCATCTTATAATAACCCTGTTTTGTTTTTCCTGGCTTGGTATGCAAGACCCATCTGAGTTCCTTCCTGTTCTTCTTTGTGGCGGGAGATTCTTGCAGGTTTGATCTCACGGAAGAATCGATTTGGATCGTCCTGGATTCTGATGGTGGAATGTCTCCTTTGATTTGCAATTGTTTCTCTCCCCATCTTTCTTCCTTCCTTCCTTCCTTCCTTCCTTCCTTCCTTCCTTCCTTCCTTCCTTTCTTCCTTCCTTCCTTCCTTTCTTTCTTTCTTTCTTTCTTTCTTCCTTCCTTCCTTCTTTCCTTCCTCCTTCCTTCCTTCCTTCCATCCATCCATCCATCACATATCCCTTCCATCCATCCATCCCATCTCCCTCCCTCCCTTCTATCCATCCATCCATCCATCCATCCATCCATCCATCCATCCATCCATCACATCTCCCTTCCTTCCATCCNCTCTCTCTCTCTCTCTCTCTCTCTCTCTCTCTCTCTCTCTCTCTCTCTCTCTCTCTCTCTCTTTATCTCTTTCTCTATATCTCTCCTTCTTTCTCTTCCTGCTCTTCTGCATGGTTCTTTCTCTGCCTTTTGGAGAAATGGTTTTGCTCCCCAAACCACTCCGGCTTCTGCTTGCACCTCTCTGGATCCACGCCCGCTTCGGAGTGTGGCGATCTCCAGTAACCTTCCGTTTAATCAAAAGCCTTCTCTTCATTGCTCAGGAAAGGGGATGGTCTCGCTCAACGGCCACTGCGGCCCAGTGGACTTCCTGGCAGTGGCCTTCAGCACGCTGGCCCCCGAGGTCTTGAAGAGCGACAAAGAGGACGAAGCGACCCCGGACGGAGCACCCTTGGGGGATGAGGCACACCCCAGCCCGGGCGCTCGCTCCTCCGACGTGTCCACCCCGGACAGCTCCTCCACCAAGGAAATCCGCAAAAAGGGCATCCTTCTGCAGTACCGGCTCCGATCCACCACTCACCTGCCCGGGCAGTTGCTCTCTGTGAGGGACACCCCTTCGCCGGCCGGCGGGAATTCTCTGGAACACACCGAGGAAGACGGCTCCATCTACGAAATGGCGGATGATCCGGACGTTTGGGTGCGGAGCCGGCCGTGCGCGAAGGAATCTCACCGGAAAGAGATCTCCTCCTTGGCCGTGATTTCGGGAGGAAGAGGCTACCGCAACTTCAACGCCAACGGCCGGGCTCTGCCCAGCAGCGAAAGCGACAGTACGTTACTCCTCTGGCAGATCCCCTTGATTTTATAGCGCCGTCGGTTTTCGTTTTTCCCGTCCTCCGGTTTCGGCGTTTGCGTGGTGGACGACAGGGGACGTGTGTGGCTGTCTGGGTACCCCTTGGTTGGACGGTCCTGCTGGGCCCACCAGGTTTTTACCAGTTTCGTGGTCTTCAAATTCCTCCCTCGCCCAGCTCTGTTTGCGACCTCTTGGCTCCAGCTAAGACTTCTGGTTTTCTTTCCTGGACTTTTTCAGGTTTTATAGGAAAATTGCACACTCCCTTCAGGCTTTGGAGGGGGGGCAGTTAAATTGCCCCCCTTCCCCCCCTGGATTTTTTTTCTTCCCAGAAAGAGACATGTGCGTTGGGTGTACCCCTGTGTGAATATCCTACATATAGATATATATAGAGACACACACACACACACACACTTAATATAAAAGTGCTGTACATTATTAAATTGTATAAATAAAATCTGTATATATTGGGGCAGAAATAAAGGTGGTAGATAACCCCTTCCAGTCTAGCTCAACGACAGCTCTGGTCTTGGTTCTTCCCAAGGGGCTCGGCTCAAAGTTGCCCGTCTTATTAAATGCCAGGGAAATTCTCAAGCCAATGGAAAAATAATGCAGTCTTTGCCCCTTAGCGGGCACCCTGCTGCCAGTCTCTCCAGCCTGGGAGACGCAGAGATCACCACCGCTGAGTTTGCTCAGCTCTCCGAGGGCTGACAACGTCTCTGCTCTCCTTTTATTATTTCCTTCTGCAAAATTTCCCAAGGCAGACTCTTCCCAGGAAAAGAAGAAGTTGAGAAGCAGACCCATAAATATTGGGGGTCTCTACGTGTGAGATACGCAGACAGGATGGCAGCCATCGTTCAGCAGATGAGTAGGTGACGGGGACCAATATCGGTAAATTCAGATTTTTAAGTCCTGATCCCAAGCAGGGATGGAGCCAGGATGGTCTCCCGTGGAACGGCGTTGCAATGGAGAACGTCCATCCCAGGAGGGTGAGTTGGGCCCCCCTGAGCTTGCAGGAAGCCCCCCCCCAAATTGTCACCGATCTGGAGAACTTTTGAAAGGGAAGAGCAGAAGAGTTGATGCGTTACTCCAGCCAAACTGGAGTCCATCTAAGGAGTGCCAGCATAGTCTCTCTGCGCCTTCAAGCTTCTGGTGCTATTCCCCGGCTCCGTTCAGTCCGGATCCGACGCTCCGATAGACTCCCAATTTCATTCCATTTTCGCCTTTCAATTATATTCTTAGCAACTCAACCTTGAAATAGGGTCATCTCCGCTGCCGCTGCCTTCGGAGAAGGACTATTACCAGATGTACATGATTTCCACAGCTTACTTTCTTTCCTAATTAGACATTAAATGCATGTAGCATTCCTTTTTTCCCCTTTCTTAAAAAAAAAAAAAAAGTTCTGCTCCAGATTAAGCTGTCTCTCCACTCCCCCCCCCCAACAACCCATTTCGTGCCTTGTTGCTTCGGCTTGACGGCAGCAAGGGAGGAGAGAAAGAGGGAGGGGACGCGGAGGGGGCTGCGTCTCTCCCCCCCCCCCCGTCTCTCAAACCTGAGCGTTTATACATCAGTCACAGGCCATTATCAAATCTTCCAGGAGACAATAACAGTTTGCATACAATACGTGGAGATTCATTAAAGTGTCAATACAATTACACAAGCAGACATCATGTCTTTCAGCTCCCTTTGCCTCGCTGCCTTTACAAAGTCGGGGGGGGGGGGTCCAGCTGTGTGTGAAAAATAAGATATTTTTTTCTGGCTGGTTCTCCTGCTTTCAGCGTCCTTTAAAGCGAGTCTCTTTGGCTTTTCTTTGCCAAAAATCTTTAGTAAATATCTTTCTAGATCTTTGCCGATCAACTGCCTCTGCTTCTGGAGGTTCCATTTAACCCTCGAGGATCAATAACTTTGCAGCCCCAACCAACGAGGAGAAATTAAAACGACGTAGGGTAGAGAGGCAGCAGTTCCATCCTCTTCAGGGAGCAGCTACCACAATGTGTACATGCCCTGCAGCTTTTCGGTTGTGTGTTTTGCCAATGGTCACTCTGAAATATTTAAAAAGTGACTGTTGAGATACTCAGTTCGTTGCCCCCCGAGCTTGGTTCTCCTGGGCTTCAGGAAGCAATGGCTGGTTGGCTAAGAATTTAGCCCGTACCACTCTCCAAGGGGCTAGTCCTCAAGCTTCTGATGAAACAACTCGTTTTAGACAAAGCCCACAGGGTGTGGCCTTAGGTTGTCTTTGATCTTGTTGCCTTGTTTGTGTTGTTGTAGAGGTCTGTCCTCGTTCCGGGCTTAGCAGCTCTGCTCTGCTTGGATGGGTGACCACCAGGCGATGCTAAGTCCAAAAAAACCCTACATCCTGGGAATAGGATGTGCGGTTGATGAGACGCAATTACAAGAAGCTGAGTTGAAAAAGGCTAGTCTCTTAGGCTGGCTTCCCACCCATGTCCAAACCCTTGCGTTAAACCTGGGTATCTATAAAGCCCCAGAGATGGATGTATTTCAAAATATGACGGCGATGAAACGTTGGAAAGCAGCGAACTCTGTATATTTCGCAGCCCTCTGGGAAGCGTTTCTTAAAACCTGCAAAACTCTCCTGGGGCTGGGTCTTCAGGAAACTGTTTTGGCTTGTCCAACAGGGCTCAGAAATTCTCCTTTTTGGGCTGTTTGTGCTTTCCCACTGACCTGGCATTCGGCGGGGGTCTTGTTCTTCGGAAGTTGCCTTCTGCAGCCGTTTCCTTCTAGCGAGAAAGGAGAATGGTTCAGCTCTGATTTTTAAAATCCTCAGGCTACTTTTGCAGGTCAAGCAGGCAGAGGAATGGAAGCAGCGCCGTTCCTCACCGGCCATGGAAAACCTGGGCTGCGTTTCTTTATAAGCAGCCATAATAAGCTTGTCTTTTGCTGGGGGGGGGGACGGACCCAAAACGCTCCATAGAAGGGAAAACAAACACGGATCAATGGCCTCTGTGCCCATTTTCGCTTCCCCTCCTATCTCCGAAGTCAGCAAAGTAGACTCAGAGCTTGAATAAGCCACATTTAATGTCCATTTTTTGTTAAATGTTTTTTAAAAATGATGTGAGTTCAACCTGCTAGCGAATTCACCAAAAAGCAGCAGTCTATGAAGGCTATCTGCAACTGATGCCCTTTTTTTTCCCCTGGCAAAAGAGATGATGATGAAAAAGGTAAGCCTTAAGAACTATTTACTTAATTTCTACTTTATTAAAGATCTTTCTAGGCTGATCTAGTTCAGACAGCTCCCAACAAGAAAACAGAGGGTTAAAAACAGCTCAAACCGTTGACATTATCTGGCAATGGACCGGCTATTACCCCATCAGCAGACAACCACAGAAGCTAGATTGTCACAATCTCATTAATCAGGGTTAATACTGAGAAAAAGGGATTAGTAAGTGAATCTTGGGAAGGAGATAAGTCTACCTTGGCCTTCATTTATTAGCCAGGGAGCAATTTGGACCTTAAGGAAGAGATGGATGCCTTGTGTCAAAGATATCCATCTTGGTCCTTTCCTTTTTAAAACTTCATTTTCTGCTCCGATCTCTGGGAATGCAGGGGTCAACGCGGTTCTCTCAACTATGTAGCTACCTTGGACAGTGATATGACAATGGTTTGATTTTTGAAGGATATATATAAAAAAATCCCCCCCCCCCTCTAAATGTCTCTTTTTGCCCAAAGCTGGCTGGGTTTTTGTTCTTTTTTTCCAAGTGGAAATAAATTCCTGCCTAGGTTGGATTTCCCCCATCGCTCTCAAGTGCCTAACAATCTTGATTATCTCAGGATCAAATCAACATCTTTCCAGCGGGAGACCTTGGCTAATGAAGATGTTGGCTTGTCACCTTTTACGCTTTCTGTCTAATAAGGTGGGCACTGCCAAAACCTTGTGGCAGATCGTTAGCTGTCAAAACCTCCACCGTCCATCCATCCTGGCTTCTCCCGCTGACCAGCGGCTTTGGGGTTGACCCTTCGCCCTGTGGATGGCGNAAATCAACATCTTTCCAGCGGGAGACCTTGGCTAATGAAGATGTTGGCTTGTCACCTTTTACGCTTTCTGTCTAATAAGGTGGGCACTGCCAAAACCTTGTGGCAGATCGTTAGCTGTCAAAACCTCCACCGTCCATCCATCCTGGCTTCTCCCGCTGACCAGCGGCTTTGGGGTTGACCCTTCGCCCTGTGGATGGCGGGTTCAGCAAGGGTGTGTGGAAAGAGGGAGCCCCCAGTGCCCAGCTGATGTCCTTGGCTCAGGAAATTAATCATTCACGCCATCCGTCACCAGCAATGCAACGATTTTTATGTCTGCAGGATTGTTCGGCTCCGAAAACAGAGGCCTGGGCTGTCTGAAAGAGCTGTCGAGGGGATGATGGATTAAAGGGAGCCAGCCCCTTCTCAACAAGCCAGGATGTAGAAGGGAGAAATGAAGGGCAATGCAAACATCTGGCCCGCGGTTTCCTCAAGGAACCCTTGCCTTGAGTGGCTGGATGTTCTTTTAGGGAACACAGCTGGGTTTCCATCACGGGGGAAAAGGGGCTAGGTCTGTGTGTGTGTTTGTTTGTTAAATTATTTGTTTATTAAATGACTATGCTGCTCATCTCCCTTATAGAGCAACTCTGCGCAGCTTACAGATTATAAAAAGACAAATAGAAAAATAATTATAGCAGGCTGCATTAGCGGAGGGATAGAATCAAGATGACGTGAAGGGTTAATACCACTTTATAAGGCCTTGGTAAGGCCACAGTTGGAATACGGCATCCAGTTTTGGTCACCACGATGCAAAAAAGATGTTGAGACTCTAGAAAGAGTACAGAGAAGAGCAACAAAGATGATTAGGGGACTGGAGACTAAAGCATATGAGGAACGGTTGCTGGAATTGGGTATGTCTAGTTTAATGAAGAGAAGGACGAGGAGTGACAGAATAGCAAGTGTTCCAGTATCTCGGGCTGCCCCAAAGAAGAGGGAGTCAAGCTATTCTCCAAGGTGCCTGAAGGCAGGACGAGAAGCAATGGGTGGAAACTCATCAAGGAGAGAAGCAACCTAGAACTAAGGAGAAACTTCCTGACAGAACAAATTAACCAGTGGAACAACCTGCCTCCAGAAGCGGTGAATGTTCCAACACTGGAAGTTTTTAAGAAGAGACTGGACAGCCATTTGTCTGAAATGGTATTGGGTTTCCTGCCTGAGCAGGGGGTTGGACTAGATGACCTCCAAGGTCCCTTCTAATTGTTCTAACTGTCAGGAAGTTTCTCCTTAGTTCCAGGTTGCTTCTTTCCTTGGTTAGTTTCCATCCGTCGCTTCTTCTCCTGCCTTCAGGGGCTTTGGAGAAGAGCTTGACTTCCTCTTCTTTGGGGCAGCCCCTGAGATACTGGAAGACTACAGTCATGTCACCCCTTGTCCTTCTCTTTGTTAAACTAGATTTTGTTAAACTTAACAAACATGGTTATCGCTTACTCCCCCCCCCCAAAAAAAGACATAAAATTGAGCTGGCCACGTGACGTACGACCATCATGAC